GCCTATCACATCTGCCTTCTTAGCTTAATCCACCCAAAGGCTGTGATTGGGATGATTTCTTGCAGAAAACAACAAGAAGGAGCTCTGAAGTATGCATCAGCAATATACATACATATATATATATGTTTCTTTATAAACAATATACATGCTATTAGTATATCAACACTATATCCATTATAAAACATACACAAAAATAGAAATTTCAAAAGGAGGATATTAACACACACACAAAACACACACACACACACACACACACCCCCCTCCTGATGTAGTTTAAGATAAGTTTGGCAATGCCATTTACATCTTATTTGCTTAATCTTGCATTATTAGTATTATCTTCAATTCAGTTTCTTGGCAGGAAACTCTTGTCCATTTTTTGAGGGTTAGTTTAGTTAAAATGACAAAATCAAATCTGTAGGTCATGTAAGCAGGGACACTTGAAACTGCACACAGCAGAGGCAGCCTTCTGTGGAGTGGGTCTCCCACTCTTCCTTCAGCAAACCTGGAACACATATGCGACACTGCACCACTCAACACAGGAATCAAGTCAAGACACCAGGGTCAATCTGTGTATCAAATATTTTTTGTTTGAAAAAATATAAGTATAGATTTTCATTATCTCACTCTTCCATATCCAATCCGTTGGCAAATACTGTCAGCTATACCTTCCAAATACATTCAGAATCTGATCAGCTCTCACTTTCTCCATACAGGCCACCATATTTGTTCCAAGTTGCCATCATCTGGATTAGCATAATGGCCTCCCAACTGGTCTCCCTGCTTCTGCCCTTGGCCTCTGAACTGCAGGCAACGTGATCCCATTAAAATATGTGCTGTTTCTCTGCTCAAATGGTTTCCCATCTCAAAGAAAGCCTAACACCACACTATGACACAAAAGGCCTTCTATGATGTGTTCCCCATTACTTCTCTGCTCCTTGTTCACCGAGACCTTTCCTAAATGACTTCTGTGGCCACAAAGAAGAAAGCATTGGCCTTCTCACTTAGCCTGGAGACCTCACAGGGGATGGTGGATATGCATTTACTATAAATAAAGACAGTCAAGAAAGAGTTTTCCTGTGAGGTAGTCAACTATGTTTCAAAGATTTTCCACAACTAGAAAGATTTCCTTCTGAGAAATTCAGCAGCAGAGGAAGTTTGCCCCAAGCCAGTAATTCTACTGATGGCCACCAGGACCACAAAACTTTTCTGTTGAATAGATGTTCATTTCCTGATTTACTACAAATGCATGGTTTTCTTTAAACAAAGAGCACATTTTCATTATTTAATTTTTTAGATAAGTCTTTGAAAATGATGCATGTAATAAAGATTATTTGCAGTAATTTGATGCATCTTCTTCACAACCACACAGTTGAACGTGAATTTAAATTCAGCCAATAATTTCAAGGTGACAGTTTTATCTAGAAAGCCTCTATTTCTATTTCAACCAATTTATTTAATGGAACAATTTAGAATGCTTGTTTAGACTGACCCAAATAACACACACAAAAAAAAGTAAAGGGAAAGAACTTTCAAATGCATTTTAATAATAGAAACCATTGCTGTTTTTAAAGCAATGAATTTTAGCATCAAATGTGAGTGTTATTTGTACAGTTTCTTACTAAAGAGATTCAAGGAAGCTAGCAAGGTAATCATTATAAAAATGTAAAGTCAGATAAAATCCACCACTCTCCCATAAAATATCAATACACATATATTAAGACCTCAAATAAAATACATGCTGTGAAATGTAACCCGCAAAAACACTGAAAAATAAATAAGATACAAAACTATAAAGTGTACACACACATTATGCTTCAATTCTCACTTCACTTGATTTCCATTGCTTTCTAGATGCATCTCATGTACAAATAGCTGAAGAAACCTGGTGATTTTCTTTATTATAATGGTTGGGATGGCAATGATTGAACGCTCTGCATTTTCTTTGATAATAGAAAGTATGATTTATGAGAAAGGAATAAAAATCTAAGAAAACCACTCGATAAATTATTCAATTTTCAGATCAAGCTGATTTAGAGCAAATTTCCTTCATGCTGCTAGTATGGAAAATGCAGCTTACTGGATAAGAACACAGTGTTTAAGAGAATATCTGGGTTTGCTTCCCTATTTTTAGTAATTTTGTGCCTGTCAACAAGGCATATAACCTCTTTTACATCCCAGTTTATTCATTTAAAAAGTGGGATAATAATAGAAAGTATGTCTCAAAGTGCAAGATGTACACCACTGGTGGCATTCAAGATAGCTGGTATAGTGATGGACTTTTTTTCAAATACTATTTAATTTAATGTGTATGAGACATAATTAGCATGTCAAATAAAAAATTTACAGAGGTAATTTTTCAGGACAAGCCTAGGCAGCACCATGAGAATCTCTCTTTCTCAGAGAGTAGTTCTTTTCAGCTGTACTTTGAACCTTCATTTCCATGAACATGGACAGTTAAAAAAACTGCAATTATTTACACAAATGACTCAAATGTTGGAAACAGAGCCTTAGGATTCATGTGGATTATCTGAGAATTAAAGGAAAAAGTGAGATAACATTCATAAAGTACTCAGCATAGTGTTGCAGTGTATTAACTGCTATTGTTATTATTCTTTCTTTATGATCTATTATTGCCATATTACCATAATGCTAATAAACCAAATATACTCCACCCTGGCATAAAAGAAGTTTATGAATATCCATGCATAATAAAAGCATCATCCGTTACTTTCCAAATGATTTACAAATAAAATGCATCACGAAGAAACCAAGAAAGAACAAAAGAAATTAGGAAAAAAATGGAAGAGAAGAGCGTACAGAGGACAAATGAGCAAAGACCTGATAAAATTAAACAATATAAACCTTTTGTCATAAGATATTTGGTAAGATAATATATGTTGCAATGACATTGGGGCTAACTAAATCTGCCTATAAAATTTGGAGAATAATCACATCCAGTGAATAGTACCTACACCATCTCCTTAACCTTTGAATCAGGACATTTGAAATAAATAAAATAGCTTTTTACTTATTTATTTTTTAAAATTCCATCAAGTAATGCAGTACATACCACTGTAATAAAGTAATTTTCTCCTGTAATTTTACTAAGTTCCTCTGAAGAGTTTTAAAAACAAGTCCTTTCCAAAAGGGGGAAAAAGGCAGTGTTAATACCCAACATAATATTGCTTGGAAATTTTCCTTTTTGATGCATGTTATGTGTTTCCTATTTAATTGCAATTGCAGTTAATATTTTCCTACAAGTAGTATTTCCCAAGAAAATATATCCTCAGCATTTTATGAATATGTTATATTTCTTTTAAATAGAATTATTCTAAATTTTACCCACCAACATATAAAGTAGCTTTAATATTTTTGTGTTCCAATTCTTACCACAAACTAACCCTAAAATTCTCTTTTAACATTGGCAAAGGATCATTCAATAATGATCAAAAGATAGTTAATCTCTAACTTAAAGTCTGGCTGTCTTTAGTCATAGAAAGACTAAATTCTATAGTATCAACAGTTCTTATACCTGAGAATTAACTGGGGACAGAACAGGGCCCAATCTCATGAAATTTCAAATAATGGGTAAGCCATGTGACAGCAAAACTCATCAAAAGTTTCACCTTGATAGCCTGCCATGAATTTCTCAACTAGAAAAAAGGGCTATGGGCCAGCATATAAGTTAGACACTCAAGATTAGGGATAAGGCACAGAAATGTCACCCAATGAGAGTTAACACATGTTGAATGACACTAGTTGTCTTTGGAGAGTTGGAGGAAACCTATTAATGTACCTCTCCAAATGAATAAAGAACTTAAATGTAGTCATTGAAAATTAATTTAAAAAGAAAATTTCTACTTCTTGCTAGAAAAGTATAATACAACTACAATTATGTGATATGATCAAAAAGGAGCTTCTTCAAGGGGGTGAATTTCCCAGATAATTATAGCTAATTTCTGGACAACAAACAAATGACTTGAAATCACCATTGAGCTTTATCAAATTACTTATTGAATTTACCATCCTCAGTGAGCATCTTGGCATTAGGAAATAGTCTATCTATTTTGATCATTGGTCTTCACTAGGAAGCCTTTTCCTGCTACATATCCTCTCTCACTACATAATGCTCTCCAATCAATAATCTTATAAAAATAACAAAAAGAAATAAATCTAACACATTTTTAAGAATGACGCTTGTTCTAAGATTCAACATTTTAAAGACAGCAACATTTCTCTGAATCCCAGATAAATAAAAAGACAATCTCTTTTTGAGAGCTAAAAGAAGTACCTGACAATTTTTAACAATCTGGAACATGTAAATTTCTAACATGTTTTCCTGACAAAAATATACATTTAATCATATTATAAATTAATTTGTTCACCAAACGCTTAGTAATAAAGTTGAAAATCAAATTTGTACTTAATTTTTTGTACTGTTTTTAATCTCTTTTTTTTAAAGTCACAGAAAATAGGCTGAAAAATCAGATAAAATTTACAGCAGAAATTTAGATTTATGCAAGCCATAAACCATAAACATTATCATTATGAAGTTACAATGATAAAATTTGTTATAAAATCAAGTGGTCCAACTATAAATCAGTTTATTAGTTTGCACTATGTTTCTTATTCCCAGAAAAGAAAAAAATCGGCACATAACTATTATCAAGGTACCAACTGAAAACAAATTTAGGACCCATTATTATCAGGGTATCCTTACAATGTATATCCCATATTACTATTAATCTTGTTTTCATTTTTAATCACTTAAAACATTTTTATAAATAACAAATTTTTGTTCTGGAAAATATGTATTGATTATAATAGAATTTAGAAGTTCTTTAAAACCCGACAATTATAAGAGGAAACTGATAGCAGAATAGGCCAGAAACAGGCTTGGTTTTTGCAGAAATGATATACTGAGAACTTATACTCTCAACACGTTCTAAGTACTAGAAAAAGTTCTGATGCAAGAGCATGCCAATAAATTTTGCACTTACTTTGCAGAGGCAAAATGTCTGTAACACACTGTAAGTCTAGCTCCTCAGCCCATTCCATCTTTGGCAGGATCTGCATCATCTCACAGTTACCATTCTCTGTCACGGACTCTGGTTGACTGTTGATCGGTGCCTTTCTCAAGGTCTTCATGTGCTGCTGAACTTCCGCCAAGAGAACAGCTTGTATTGCTTCAGTTACCTGTAAAGATTTTTTTTTATGAACTATTTTTAGTATTATTACAAATGCTTGGGGTCTTGCACAAAACCCAAAGCCTGGAATTTTTATTTGAATTGGTTTCACATAAACTGTAATGCTCCATCCCATTAGAATTTGTATCTGAAACAAATGAATTGCAGACACTGAGAACTGGCACCCAAATCATCACACTGTTCTTTTGCAAACTCAGGAGATTCTAAAAGGAAAGTTGAAAGAAGTTCTCAATTCTTTCTCCTAACATATTTTCATTTCCACCAAAAGAAAAAGAAAACTAATTTGAATACATCATATTGCTCTTAAAGACAAGGTTACCTCCTCAAACAATGTCTAGCTCTAAAGCACTATTTAGCTAAAAACACTTGGTTTAAACTAGGTCTAATATAGATGGTTAAAGACAAGACTTTAATAAAGTCTAATCCAATATCTTTTTTTTTTTTTTGGTGAGGAAGAGTCGCCCTGAGCTAACATCCATTGGCAATCTTCCTCTTTAGTTGCTTGAGGAAGATTAGCTCTGAGCTAACATCTGCGCCAATCTTACTCTATTTTGTATGTGGGATGCCTTCACAGCATGGCTGGTGAGTGGAGTAGGTCCACGCCCAGGATTCCAACATGCGAACCTAGGCCACCAAAGTGGAGTGTGTGGAACTTGAACCACTCGGCCATGGGGCTGGCCCTTCCAATATCTTCATTTTTAAAATGAAGAATCTGGGACATGACATTCCAAGGTCATACAGATTTGGTGGACAGACTTTCTGACCCCTGATTCCATGCCCTTTGTACTATATGTCCTCCCAAGGTTCTATACCTTTACCCCTCAGTAAAAAGCCAGTGACCGTACCTTAGCTTCTTCCTGGCAAGAGATGAGGCAAGGTCCAGGAGTAAGACAGAGTTCAAAGTAAGCTAAGAGCTGAATCAGTGAGAGAAAAGGAAAAGCACCACTGATCTAGGTGAGCTTGGGGCACCCCACCATTATCCTTCTCTGGCTCATAGTTGAACCTTTCATATAGCCACATCCCAATGCCTGCTCCTTTTCCCCTCAAAACCCTGCCCTCTGTCAAGATGACTCATATTCTGAAATGCCACGTGTGGAATTGGACAATTCTATATTGCCACTGTTCCTTCTGCATTATCCCCACTCGACCCACAGGACACCTAGAGCTAGGGCTTTGGGACAACACCAACCGAGACTAGTGATCTAGAGTTGCTGATGCCAAAAATAGAAAAGATATTCACCTAAATATTTATTCAGTTTCTTTTACGTGTTGTGGCAGCATGTGAGACCTTTAGGCTCCAGAGACACTCAGAGAGCTTAAGCTGATGGCAGATGCTCACTGAACTACTGGGGCAGAAGGAGCCAGGTACCTGACTTTTAAGTATAGGAAATTTCCCAAAAGTTTCAGGGCAGCTTCCTGATCACTGATCATCCCCCTGTTCTTGTCCACTCAAATTTTTGGTTAGGTTGTGATAAAAGGCTAACGAATGATTTGATTTTACTATTGCATACCATGTGTACTAACGTTGTAGTACTGCCTGTCACAATACAGGTACATAATTCTTCCTCGGGCATATCGTGTGATGAAATACTCAACACTGTGATACCTATTGCATACCAGGAATCTAACATATAGTTCTACATATCATGATACTGGTGAATCATGCCTATTAATACCTACCATGTAATGAGATATACATTATATTAACTATTAGGTATGATGTCTACTAACATTTTCTACTCTGTATCACAATATAGGCGAACCATGCTTATTTATGTATATCATATGATGGGACAAACTGTATTTATTCCTGAACAATTTTACATCACTGAATTTATTTCATTTTAGTTTTGTCACACATTTTACTTTATGGCACTGCTTTCAAGATGTAGATGATGTGGTAGAAAGAGCTCTGAATCAGAAATAAGAAGGCTCGAATTTCTGATCCAACTATGACAGTTATTACAAACGCCATCTTTGACAAGTCACATATTACTCTAGGACTTCATGGCCTCACTTATCAAACAAAATCTGTGATGCTGAGAGAAGCTAGGATGAGAGATTTAAATCAGAGAATCCTGTATGGAACTTGCTTCTGTCCATACCTATAAATCAGGAGGATATTAGAGGATGTCTTCAGACCCATGCTATGTCCAGACTATGGTATATTCCTCAGAATGGGCAGTTTGGCCATATGCTCCCATGGAATTATGGCTGTCCTCTCACACTGGGATCATTATCATCTCTGAGGAGCACCCACAATTGTGATTTAGAATGTCCTCTATCCCACTGGATCAGTATTCTTTCTTAAAAATATATAGGGTGGCTAGCCCAGTGGCATAGTGGTTAAGTTTGTGAGCTCCGCTTCGGTGGCCTGGGGTTCGCAGATTCGGGTCCTGGGTGAGGACCTACGCACCGCTTATCAAGCCTTGCTGTGGCAAGTGTTCCACATATAAAGTAGAGGAAGATGGGCACGGATGTTAGCCCAGGGCCAATCTTCCTCACACACACACACAAAATATATAGATAGATGGATAGATAGATAGATAGATAGATAGATAGATAGATAGAGACTTATGCAATTTCATTTAACATTTCTAATTATTAGATTTATATATCGTCATCACATTTTTGAACTATTGAATTTTGGAGTTTTTTGAATATTTGTCACTAAAAATGCATATCACAAGAATAATTAATATGAGTATCACCGGAAAACAAGAAGTAGAAATAACAGAATAAACCATATTAACCATAATGAGTAGGATACTCAGAGCCACAAAACTTAAAAGTGAATACTGAATGGCATACACCTAATAGCAAACAAACTCAAAATAAACACTTTATGCTGTATAGAACCAATATGTAATAATATTATCATGGTATCTGGTATACAGTGGGCAATAAATAAATGCTAATGGAATTGAAATAGATTTTGTACACTTTAAAAATATAAACTGTAGAAAGTAGAATTTGTTAGTTTTTGACTAACAACACTTGAGTCTCTCTAGCTTATACACATAGTAAATAAATTGTGTAGATAGTAGGGATAGAATTTTCTGCAACAAAATATAACATTTTGAGACAGTATTTTATATAACTGTGATTTTAATAACGATCTAGAATTGAAAGCACTATGGCTATAAAGCTGTCTTCAAAACGCATATAAATAAGTTTCTCTGAAAAGAAAGATATGCAAAGTATTACATTCTTATGAGGGAATGTACAAAGATTCAAAACAAGATTTACAAATCCACTGGCTAGAAAGAGACAGCCAGAGATCTGGGCCATATACTTATTATTAGAAGTCCTACTGTGCCCTAGGCAAGCTAAAAATTTTAACGGTTTTCTACTAACAGCTTGAAACTGCATAGTACTGTAAAATAGCATAGAGCATTATGAAGACTCATAGGAGCCCCCATGTCCTACTTGTGGTTTCAATGTCCAGATTTTCTGCTGTAAAAACATTTTTCCAACACTCAAGCTCACACTGCCCTTTAATGTTTTTGAACCACTCCTAGAAAAGCAATATTTCTCCCTGGAGGCTTGGATGTCATGATTTCACCTACTGTTGTTAGATTATAAAATCCCAAGAACTTTAGTGCAGTGTCAGAAACACACAAACTAGCACCCCCAAAACCTTGCTGTTGCTTTTCCAGAATTTATTTCTATGTTGCATACGTTTCATATGTGAAAAGCAAAAGAGACAATCTCCAGACAAACTCATTCACCTGGAAGATAACTCATTCTTACCCCATCACTTAAAAATACCCTCCCCTTTAGTTTTTGAAGTAGGATTTTGCTCTCTTTACCACCTAGTGCTCCTAAAATACATAAAAAGTAGAATTAAGTTAACATGACTTGACTAACTGTTTAAATGAACAGCTTTACAAGGAATTTGAGGATTGGTTAATGAAGCATTTAAATGTATACTTGCAAAAGCCTCTGTTGTTCCTGAAGAGCCCAGGAATTCTCATTTCCACTTTACACATGAGGAAAATAAATAATCAATAAGTTAAACTTATCTTCCTAAGGCATTCATCAGGTTAGTGACAGAGATGAGAGGAGAACTTTGAAGCTTAGATTTCCAATAGAGTGAGTAATAAATTCTCTGGTAATATTTGTCCTGCTGCCAGCATTTTACACAAGGTCACAGAATCATAGAACCTTAAAGGTCCATTAGTCCAAACATGTCCAAACCACATTAAAATTTATCTGAAGGTCAAATGAACAGCTACAAATGATCTTTAGTTAGAGCAAATCAGGATAAATGTTCTGTTGAATACTTTTCCTCATGGATTTTTTTTTTCCCCATTGAGGAAAACTTTGGCTACCAGGAAAAAAAAAATCTCACCTTTAATCAATAGACTCTTTTAGAGTGATTGTCAATATGCTGGTAAAGTCAACATGTACTAACGTTTGTTTGATTATCACAGAGGCTTTTTGCATAGGTATTCATTAAATATTTATTGACTGGTTACTGTCACTATTGCTTTTCTAGCACTGGTGAAAGAGGGGTGAATGAGACAGACAAAGTCCCCGCTCCCAGCAAGCTTCTATAACCGTGAGAAGACAGATGATAAGCAAGCAAGTGGTATAATTGCCACTAAAAGTAAGCACAACAAAGACAATAAAACTTGGTAGTGCGATGGTGACTGGGGGCACACGGTGGGGAGGGTGCAGTGATAATATTAGATGGAGTGATTAGGAAAGACTTCTCTGAGGAGCTGGCTTTCGAGCAAAGACTCAAATGATGAATGGAAAAATGAGAATTCTAGCCTGAAAAAAATGTAAACTCCTAAGTGGAAATGAGCTTTATATGTTAGGTCAATGTGGCTAGTGAACAGTGGGGAGAATGTTGAGCGAAGAGGTTAGGCTAGGAGCAAATCACGTAGAAACTTATAGGCCATGGTTTCAATAGCCATTCTAACTACATTTATTTGGTTTTATGGTGTCAACCCCCACAGTTTGTTCTGAGTTAACTTTTCCTTGTTTTCCTGTAACCAAGCATAATCATTTGTAATTGGAGTTATTGTTATTCTTGTCTTGCAAATTTGACATTTATTAAGCTCATGAAGAAGAATAAAGGTCCAATAAATATTCATCTAATGGATGCATAATTATTTATTGTACAGTGTACAAAGCTACCCAGTTAGTTTTTAGGACACAAAAAAACTTAAAAGAGGAAAAAGGACCTAAATTGGGCATTAACGAAACCAGCTCTCCAAATCAGCTCACAGATGAAAGTACTCTCAGGATAGAAAAATGATTTCTAATTACACATACCAAATTCCCAAGCCTAGGGATCTCTACATCATGGGACATTTTGAAATCAAGTAATTCACAATTCTGCCACAAAATGGAACCTCAAAGGGCAATAAGTTACCTATAACAACATGAACATCCCTTCCTCAGCCTCCTCTACTCATATCTGCTAACTTGGTGCATCCTTGCATATGTTATTTTCCACTTTTCCTCTCATTATTAGTCTCTGCATTGGGCCTATGAAATGAAATGCCTTGGGAGGATATTTTGTGAGGACAGGAGTATCTACTTACTTTTACCCTCAGGTAGAGGGAAGTATGAACGAACTACAGCAGCAAGGAAATATTTCAAGAACATAAATAATTCCAATAATTTCAAGAACATAAACTGTATCATACCTGCACAGACTGGTCTCTCCAACAGGAAATTAGCTTCAAAAGTGAAACATCAGCTTCAGGTGTATGGGATTCATTCTTACCTAGAAATATATAGGACATATTTATATCTTGAGAGTATTAAAAATGGAGGCAACCCAACGGTCCTCAACCCCAGCTGCACATTAGAATCATCTGGGGAGCTTATTTTTTTTTTCTCACAAACACCAATGCCCAGGTTCAATCTTAGAGAGATTCTCGTTTAATAGTTCTCAGGGTGAGGATGGGGCAGGCATTAATACTTTGTAAAAGTATCTCAGATGTTCTTCACGTATAGCCAGAGTCAAGAACCATTAATTAATTTATGTGTATTTCTAACAATTATATAAATACATATTCACATTAAATCAAATTCATCTTTATACTTTAAACTCCTCTTTGTATCTTTTTGCCAACAGAAGTAATGACTAATATTCTCACCCAAAACAGAATACCAAATTTTACAATTCCTTCCTCATACAAATACTGCCTGAAATTCTACCTTGCCATGAATCAGTATCTACACAGAAATCACATAAAAGACTTCCTTTGATTTGTCCTTACCCAGCTATACTGGGTATAATCTGATCAATAAGTATAGCACTTATGTTTTAATCTGACTCATTTTGTTATGTATTGTTTCTTTTAAGTTTGCCCTCTTGAATGTCCTTTTTATCTATTTGCCTTAATGTTCAGTGTGAAATTTTAAGAGCCAGCTAGGGTTTGGATTACTTAAATTGATCCATAGAGTGTCCAGCAGTTCCCTACACAAAAAAGCACTTAATAAGTGCCTTTTTATTAATTGAAAATGTACATATTATCATTCAAATGTAAAATCGATGTATTAAGGCTTTCTGATGGCTAAAATATATTATCTAGGTGCCTGATCCCAGGGATGAGATAAGAAAGAATGATGAAGGCTTGCAATGGAGTGGAAATTACTGTTATTGTCTATGTAAATTAATGTATTAATATATGGTTGAAATCCTGTTTCAAAAAATATGTTTGGGGCCAGCCCAGGTGGCCTAGTGCTTAAGTTTGGTGCGCTCTGCTTTGGTAGCCCAGGTTCAGCTCCCAGCTGCGGACCTATACCACTCCTCAGCGGTGATGTGGTGGTGGCCCACATACAAAATAGAGGAAGACTGGCCACAGATGTTAGCTCAGGGCGAATCTTCCTCAGCAAAAAAAAAGTTAAAAAATATGTATGAAATATGTTGAAATTAATATATGCTTAAATCAACTATTTAAATTAATATTAGTCCAATATACTTTTCATTGAATCACCATTTTATATATTATATATATGTATATAGGTGTGTATCTATATACATATTAGTGGTCAAGGGAAATGTGATAGAAAGTGTCAAATATAATGTAAAATGAGAACATGAAAGAAATATATAAAAAACTTCTGACATTATTAACATGATTATTTTTTTCTGATGGAACATATAATGTGCACTTTAAATGACTAAGATCAGTGCACAAAACATTTAAGTATGATAGCACACTATGATTTTGAAGTCATCTTTAACCTTTCTTCATGAGCACAGCAGGTAAGAGAAAATTTTCTTTTGATCTCTCTCCTGTCTCCCTCTCTCATTTTGTTGACCTTGTGACTCTACCATCAAAGCTAAGTATTGGTCTCAACTATAACTACTTACTGGCATCATGGGGTACTTCACAGTGTACTTTAATGTGATGTTAAAATTTTAATATGAGGTAGAAAGGAGAGCCAACTTTTCTTGGCAATGTCAGTGAGTTAAAGAATTAATTGCAACTTCAGGGGGAAAGATAAAAAGAAAACATCCCAGCCTTACCAATATTACTTAGTCACCATTTCTGCTGACAGAAGTGGATATTGGTTCCTGTCAACCCTTCAGAAGGAGCACCTCAGAGTATTATTTTATTCTTCAGGCTTTGACATTATAGAATTAATAGGATGAAGTGAATCCCTCCTTTCCTTTCACCTCCCATCTTCCAATTATTAAAACACAAAACCATGTTTCCTTAGTACCTAACTGAATTTTAGATGCTATACATGCCACCTCGAAATATCAGGGAGGCTATTCAGTAAAAACACTAGTTGCTCGGGCTGCTTTGGTTGGGGCAGCATAGGAAAAGCTGGGGCCTTCTTGCCTCTGGTTAGCAACTCTCTCGGTCTCTGCAGAAACCACTTATATTATGCCTTAAATTGTAATCCCTTTCCCAGTGTTATAAAAAATGAAAACGAGGATAAATACCCTAGTAAGGGCTACGACCTAAGCAAAAGGCAGGCAACCCAGACTGGGGCCATATGGTAGGAAGACTACTTGCATCATAAATGTGAGAAGTGGGCTGACGTACTGGCAAGAGCAAGGGGTTTGGAATCAGACAGAGTTGGAGTGGAATCCTAGCCCCTCTACTTAATAGCTATTTGCCTATGAGTGAGACATCTCACTTCTCTGAGCCTCAGTTTTCCTAAGGGTAAAACAGAGATAGTTCTTCCTATGTGCAGCGTTGTTTATATATTGATTGAGATAATGTATGTAAAGTCACTAGCATAATTCTTTGATCATACTAGGCACTCAATTAAGCTATTAATAAACACTTACTTTAAAATAGCCCAAATAGGGGCCAGCCCTGTGGCGTAGCGGTTAAGTGCGTGCACTCCACTGCTGGTGGCCCGGGTTCGGACCCTAGGTGCGCACCGACGCACTGCTTGTCAGGCCATGCTGTGGCAGCGTCCCATATAAAGTGGAGGAAGATGGGCACAGATGTTAGCCCAGGGCCAGTCTTCCTCAGCAAAAAAGAGGAGGATTGGCATGGGTGTTATCTCAGGGCTAATCTTCCTCACACACATACAAAAAAAGCCCAAATATTCTTCTCAATAGCCCTGAGAGGGCTCCTATGTACCATTGTTCAGGTCATCCCAGTGTATTGATCATCTACTGCACAACTTTGGAGGCAACATGCACATCAAGTCTGGAATCTTATTATCATTTTACAAATGCAGTAAATTTGGCTTTTAAAGGAGTAAAAGACATGCCCAAAGTTACATAAGTAGTAAGTGGCAGAACTGGTTCTTGAACTTCAACTGTCTATCTCCAAAACTACTGTTCTATTTACTATTCATCCATTAATCCCAAAGTATTTGCTTAGTTTCTTGCAGGAGTTATTCTAGGAACTGTGGACACATCACTGAACAAAACCGTCATTAAAAAAATAGCCCCTATGGTGCTTAGATTTTAGGAGCCAGAGGTAGATGGCAAATGAAAAAATCATATATAGTACGTCATATAGTGAAAAGGATTATGGAAACACTAAAATAGGGAAAGGGATAGGGTGTGCTGGGGAGAAGGGAAGGCACCTTCATTGATAAAATGGCATTTGAGCAAGAATTGAAGGATGCAGGGTAGGGGTGGAGGTGGCAGGTTGACCTCTGTGCAATCTGGGGAAAAAGCATTCCAGGCAGAGGGAACAGACAGTGCAAAGGCCCTAAGAGCTGCCTACCATGTTTGGGTAAGAGTAAAAGGCCAGTGCGGCTGGAACTCGAGAAGCAGGGGATAAGTAGAGATGAGGTCAGATGGGGGCGGGGGGTGCAATGACACAGGTAGAGCAGCCAGGTGAGCTATCCTAAGGACTGTGGCTTTTATTCAGAGTGAAACAGAAGCCACTGAAAGGTTTTAGGCAGAAGCATGAGGTTTTGATTTAGTTTTGAATAGCTCACTCTGGCTGCTTGGTCGGGAATAGAGTGTTGAAACCAAGAATAGGAGCAGAGGGGTGGTTAGGAGGCTTCTGTCAGCATCCAGGCAAGAGGGGATGAAGGGTCACATCGTGGGTGGTCGTGTAGCTGGGCAGAAGCAGTCAGAATCTGGGATACATTCTGAAGGTAGAACTAACATGATTACTAAAAGATCGGATGTGGGGTATGAGAGAAAGGGGAAAGTCAAAATGACACCAAAGTTCTTGACCTGAACAAGTGGAAGGATAGAACTGCCATTTACTGAGATGTCAAAGATTTGGAGAAGCTGGTTTTGGGTATGAATTAGCCATTTGGCATCAAAAGAAAGCCTAAATACCAAGACTGTTACTCAGAAGAATTCAAGAACCATTATAGAACCTTCTGAAATAGCTCTAAAATCTCTAAAATAATAATCACTTACTTGGTATTAAAGATATTGATTAATATACTTCTCCATAAGTCACATATGACCTTAATTTAATATCCCAATATTTCATTTGCTGAAAAGTTTCAGCCTTTCAGACATTTCAAAGATCATTTGATGAAATCCATCACATTACATGTCTTTAAGATGTTATTTAATAAAAAAATTTCATATATATTTCAAATATAGGCAGAATACAAAACTATAACCATGTGAAATGCAGACTAAATCAAACAATAAATACACACATTTCTCATTCTAAACTGTACAGTGCTATCCAGTTATAGAAAGACTAGTTATTTTATTTTATAGAAGAAAAAAAAAATCAGACTATATCTGTAATTCCTTTACCATTTCGTAAGTAACCGTAGAAGCTTGAAATATTCAAAATATCATTTCCAGAACTTTTCACCTTGTTATGCACAGATTCCATTTTGAAAGAACTATTGAAAAAAAGATTTAAAGGATATTATTAAAGATGTATGAAAAATATTTTGAGAAGTAAATTGAAGATATGGGTGTATGGCCACTTTAACAAATTTGGGAATTGAACACACCATTGTTTTGCATTTCTTCACATTAATCTCTTTGGTGAGTCTTATTTCCCCACTTTGCTCCCATCTAAAACTTAATTCCAATTGAATTGTGAATCTTAGTTGACCAGAATCATCTTGTGATCCACTTTAACAGGTGGGGCCTTACCACTTTAGGTCATGTGATTTGTGGCTAATGCAATAAATTTTAGAAGCCTAATATGTTGACATCTGCCAAAGAATTCTCCTTAGGTACTGTCAGGTCCTGATGAAGCCAGGCTTACTAGCCCACTGATTCAATCATAGGAAACTTTCAAATACTATCCAGGGATGTTCTCATAGGCAGATAGCTCTTTCCATAAAATTCAGTTATGTCATGCACCCAGTTATTAAGCATACAAGGATTTCTTCACAACCTTCACAACCACAGTGAATGTTAGCAAAATGGCGAAATTTGTTGGAAGGGTTTGGTGTGACAAATCCAATGCACATTATTTTGATTTCCTGAAAAATGACATGCAGTCTCTGGCAGCAGATTGAATGTAAAGTGACTGATTTAGAGAAGCAGTCTCTAATCTTGACACCTCCATTCAATAATTTGTTTTCATGAAGAATTCTGTAGAGAATTAACTAATGTGTGGCAATGATTTTAAGGTCATTTATCGGAAGGCATGCTGAAAGCGCATAATCTCCCCTAAAGGGCACCAGACATATCCTCTACATCCTGTACTCTGTATCAGGAACAAACTCAGAATGAAAACTTCAGGAAAACAACAAGTAAGTCCCTCATCTACTCTGTGGGATCATGATTAGGCAAACAAATATAATTTGCTAGCAGCCCAAGGTTTTAAGAATTGGAAGAAATCTTAGTGATCACCTATCCCATCCACCTCATTTTGTAGATGAGGAAAGTATGGCCCAGATGGCTAAGGGATTACTCCAAAGCAACATGACTAGTTAAACAACAAAACTAGGACTCATTCTCAGGTTTTCAGGCTCCAGGCTGATTTCATTTTTTCTTTTTTTACCATACTTTAGGTGCTATGTAATTTTCTTAGTAATAGAAAGAAGAGAAAAGTAAAAGAAGTCTATCTGAAATTGAAATATATATATATATATATAGCTAGGCATTTAAAACTAACGAAAGAAAAGAAAATAGAAGAAAATTAAGATTATGAATCACAGAAACTTACCAGTCTCTGTTTTCTCGTTATTACAGCCACCAAACAGAAAATAGAAAACCCTGTAGCACAGAAGCATTATAATAGAAGGAAACAGAACACTGAATCCTACATAATCCATATGGACTTGCTACCAGACTATAGGTTCACTCAAGGCAGGAACTCTGTCTATCATACAGTGCCTGGTACTGGTATTTGTTGAACTGAACTTTGTCAAAGAACAGAAATGTCAAGGACTGTTTACCACCAAGTAGAGGGCAGTTCAAACAGTATCTTGTCCATAAATGCTTTCTGATGGGTTCATCTCACAATAATTATTCTCTTTACTTGGACCACCTATAATACTTATCTATACTATGAATGTATTTCCTTGTTGCTTTCCCCTACTTCGGTGTTTTCTACTTATTTCACGTGCATTATCTTTATCATTTGAATGATTTCCGACCCAAATGAGAAATTTATCTATATTTCCTCTGTAGGCTAGTGTTAAGGCCAGTAAGCATTTGGTGAACTGAATTCAATCCTCTAACATCAGACTACAGAAAACCGTATTGAGTTTTGGCAGTGGGAGAAGGTAAACACACAGAGTCAAGGTTAGTAATTAAGTAGGCTCTGGAATAAGGCTGGTGCTCACCCTTGAATCAGCCTCTAGGGAGCTGAATTAATCTCGAGGCTGATACTTTCTCTTCACAAGCCTCAATATCCTCCTCTATACAATGAGCAAAATAATAGTACCTATATCTCAGCTTTGTTGTGCATATGAAATGAAATCATGTTTGTAAAGGGCTTACATGGTGACTAGTATATATTAAACACTCAAAAAATAATAGCTCTTATTACTAAACTATACTTTCTATAAATGAATTATTGATAGCCTCTTGTATTTTAATATGCCAAAGTATAAATTAATTAATGGTGGAATTTGAGGTATAAAATTTTCAAACATTTCCTTTCCTGATGTTATATGAAATACATCATCATAGGCATTTACTTAACTGTTCTTTGTTCATAGTTGATTCACAGCAAGTATAACGGATTTGAAGGTGCACATGAATCTATCTATTGAGTCATTCAGCATCCAGCAGTATGATTTTCTTGGCACATATTAGGAGAGCAAAGGATTTGTTGCTTTGTTGAATGCAACAAATTTTGAATTTTTGTTGAATGATAAAGTTTAAAACATATAGATTTATTGCCCAAATTATCCTCTAATCCCAAAGACTTAAAAGGAAGATTTTCTCAAATGTGTTTGGAACTAAAGGAATTGTTACATATTTACTCTTTATCAGAAGAAAGAAAGGAAGGAAGGAAAGAAAGGAGGGAGGGAGGGAAGAAGGCTAGAGAGCAGAACATAGCAAATAATGATAATTTTTTTTAATGTCCCGAATAAGAATAGTCAAAATCTCTAGTCATGTCTTACCTGTCAATTCCACATGTCAATTCTAAAGGCATGTTAACTAATTTATTAACTAAAAATAGTCTGCTCAATAAATAAACTATAGTGTTTGACTCCTGCAAAGAATCACAATTATTTTCCAGTCCTCCTGGCATCCTAGCCTGATTTGGAAGAGTGGATGTGTATTTATTTGACAAGTCCAAAACTTTACTGGAAAATAAATTTACTTTTGAATAGTCTTTTTTCATTTCAGCATTGCATAAATCCCAACCTGGCAGCATCAATGAGAAGTGATCTTCACTTGAAGCAAGTCCTAAAGAAACGGGACCCTGAAGCTTTAAAATATTGAGATGCTTAATGCAGAGATTATCTAATTCTTTATCCACTCCCCATGGTAAAAGGCAAGATAGGAGCAATTTAGCTGTGTCTATTATGAGGTTGGCATCGACTTTTCTTGATGGCTTAGGGTGCATCTTTTTGGAGCACTTCGTTTTCTTTTGCCTTTTAATGCCATCGTTTTCTTCTAAGAATTTGATGGTATTATCTCCTTGGGCTGGGCTTTCACTAACAGGCTTGGCTTGTGCCTCCGCTGGGAGAGGACCAGAGGCAGTTTTATTTCTTTTCAGCGTCAA